ACCCTTTACAACTATGAACAGTCCCAAGGCACCCTTTACAACTATGGACAGGCACCCCTTACAGCCTTTACAAATATGGACAGTCCCAAGGCACCCTTTACAACTATGAACAGGCACCCTTTACACCCTTTACAATTATGGACAGTCCCAAGGCACCCTTTACAATTATGGACAGTCCCAAGGCACCCATTACAATTATGGACAGGCACCCTTTACAATTATGGACAGTCCAAAGGCACCCTTTACAATTATGGACAGGCACCCTTTACAATTATGGACAGTCCCAAGGCACCCTTTACAATTATGGACAGTCCCAAGACACCCTTTACAACTATGGACAGTCTTTTTTCATTTATTTTTTAATTTATTCTTTTTTTTTTATGTATGTTTATATATTTAATATCATCATTGTTGGTAGTGGAGCGCGACACCTTGCTTTTTGATGTATTTGCAGTAACACACTAGTAGGAGTATGTGTATAGTGTAAGTGACCCACTCATTTATTTAAATATTTCACACACCAGTTTATTTATTTCATTTATTGCAATTATTCCACTTAGTTGATTCAATTTCATTTTTTGGTGGTAATTTATTAACCAACTGCTATTTTTTTTCTATATTCACTTAAATTACTCTTATTTATAGAATACACCATAGTAGCTCACAAGAATCACGTTTACCTTGAGATGTGAAAAACTATTCAAATAGTTTTATATAACGCAGCAACATCCACACATGTAGGACACCCAACCTTAGAGGGGATTTATTCTTCCAGAGCAAATACACTTTTGCACACTGGTACTGAGTAGTATTCCAGTGTTTCTCTTCTCCTCAGTTTTTCTCCATAACTGAGCTAATGTGATCCCAGCACTGACGGATAGGGGCGGGGGAGGGTCAAACTAGGATGCTGTGCAGGCAGCTGACATCCTCCTTATCAACTGATGATGTCATTGGTTGTCAGGATGCTGGCGGCTAGAAGGTCGTAATGGTGCACAATAAAAACCTGTGGCTTTGTATAACTAAAAGTCAGGCTTGTTCCACCCACTGGCTTTTATACAAGTTTTGGGCAATTTTTAGACATTTTGCCAAGACACCCCTGAAGAAACCTCAAGGCACCCTGGTTGGGAAAGGCTGTTCTAGTAGTTACTATGGAATTGCAGACGGTTCTTTTAGACTTTTTGATAAACGAGGACTGTCTTCTGTTGTGTCTATAAATTATATACTTCATCACTTACATACTGCATTTGTTACATATTATGTTAATACTATATAGAAGTTATTGAATACTCATGTAGTATTTCTGTTTCTTTGCTTTTTCCATTATAGGCAGTAAACTCAATCAGGCGTTGTCAAGGATATAGCCATGAATCGGCTCCTGTATGGCAGGCTAGTGTCTATGATATCCCACCAGCTCGCCCTCAGGGGGTAGGTACATAAGGACATACTAAAAACTCCAAATATTTGATAGCAACTTTTTTTTTTTTTAATTAGCAAATTTAGTTTTCGTCTTTGCAGAGGTCAGTTTTTGTTTTGCTTTTATCAGTTATTGAATTGGTTGTACTGGTTATTCATTAGAAATGCTGTAAACCAAGCCGTTAATAATTGTCAGCACTATTTTTGCTCTGCCATAGTGGACATGTTCGAAGGAAAAATTGCTATAGTTGTATTTATTACTGTACACAGTAAAGTTTACCTTACATCAGGGGTATCGAACTCAATTTAATCAGGGGCCACATCCGCATTATGTTTGCCCTCAAAGGGCCAGTTGTATCTGTAAAACTAGATGTCTAGAGCATCTCACCCTCCTTTACACTAGATTCACACTTATGCAGGTTGCGTTTGAGCCGTTTCTGCATTGCGTTTTGCATTTTTGCACTTGCATTTTTTCCATGTTTTTAATGCAGTTTTTTTTTTTCAATTTTTTTTTCTTGTTGCTAGGCAGATGCAAAACGCATCATAAACGCAATACATGCTTTTTTGCAGCGTTTCCATTGAAGTCTATAGAAACAAAAACTCAACTTTTTGCATTCAAAAAAGTCCCTGACCCTTTCCAAAAAATGCACCTGGTGAAAACGCACAGGTGTGAACTAGTCCCATAGGAAATCATGTTAAATTGACTGTACTATGTTTCTGCTAAACGTTGCAGAAATCGCTTAGGTGTGAACCTAGGGTAACATCACCACCTTTACCTTGCGCTGCTTCAGCAGAGCTGGGAAGCAGAAAGTGCAGAGTCTGGAGGAGGATCAGAGGAGGGCTGGAGTCAGCTGCCGGAGTCTGCTGAATGCTGAGAGCAGGGGAGGCAGGGACAGGGGGGAGTTCTGTCATCCTCTCTGCTGCCAACTGCTGATTCAAGATGGGGGTAGCTATGAGGGGGGGTGCTGCAGTTGCATGGGAGGTGCAAGGCCCACATGAAATGGCATGGTGAGCAGGATTCGTCCCGCAGGTCTAGTGTTTGAAACATGTGCCTTACATGGACTAAGCTGGACATTTTATCTTGACAATAAAGATTTTTCCTAACTTCAAATTACAAAAGGTACCTACGAATATGAGATAATGATCAGGTTTCCATTAGCATGTCTATGGGTGCCAGCAAATACCAGTGATAAACCACTGACTGACTAACAATTAGTTGGGTTGAAATATTTTTGGAGGACCCTGTTTCTGGCTGCACTCTGGATATCTGCCTGCCCTTTCTTCATAGCTCACATTCTTGTGATGTGAGGTTATAAATTAATGAAAAATATGTTTAATAAAAAATATATTTTGCCGGTCTGATCCTGCTCACATGCCCAAGCCTGCAAGGGGAGGATTCAGCATTTTCTGGGTGACTTTATTGCTAAAGTACAGCAATGCTTTGGATATCCAATTACTACACGTATATCTGAATCCAGATAATTATGTAGATTACATCTGTACCCCAATGTGTAGTTTTGTTAACCTTTTGCTATCAGGAAGCGATTTACAAACTCCTAACTCTAAACCAGTTTATCCCACTTCTGTTCCAGGTATATGATGTTCCGCCACCTTCTAAAATTAGCATGTGCTTAAATCAAGCCAGAGAACAAGGAATTTATGATGTTCCTCCTTCACAAGCGGTAAGGATTTGATTATTCTCTTCATTATTCATTATTTCAATCTTGGTTACCTATATATGGAGCTGTAGTTATTGTTCATAGCCAGAATGAGGTAATTGCATCTACAAATACAGTGATATTTGATAATACTGACATGGGACCTATTGATTTATGTGAAGTGTGTTTTTGAATGGTCCAGTTTAAAGCTATGTTAATAGTACTGCTGGATAGATTAATATCTAGCTTTTTTTTTTTTTTTTTTAAATAAAAACAACACTGGAGGGACCCTGGAGCAACAGTTTCTCCTAGAAAGGTAAGTATCTTAGACCTTCTGTTAGTCCTTTTATTTAGCCACATCAGAAAAACTATCAACATTTGAAAATAGGACCAATTTAAGTCCACTAAGACCAGGCAGACTAAAATACGTTTTTCTTTATTATCTTTAAAAAATTTTATAACAGGCTAAGGGCTCATGTACACTGCAGCTGCTAAACTCGCATTTAGGAGCTGTTCCGTGTTTTTTTTTCAGCAGCCCCTGAACTCTCCCTAATGTTTTCCTATGTGTCCATGTACACTATGTCATTTACAGTCGTTTACAGGCAGTTCAGTTTACAGTCGTTTTCTTGAACGCAGAAAACTTGCGTTCAGCAGTAGATTTTTCAGTGTTTCAAATGTAAAATGCTTGTAAGTGCGGCTAAGCGCATTTATAGGCGTTTGAATTTGAAATTTTTTTTTTTAACTCTTCCATTTCCAGATGCTGTCCAGAGCCTTTTTTCATCATTAAAAATGCATGCAAAGCATTTTTCCCAGTACTGAAATGGACCTGGTACATCATACTTTGAGGTTTTGCATGAAAAAAAATATTTTAGACACTGCTGTAATAATTTCTGCACAGAAATGAGCTGGAACACATCCAAACACCACAAAAAAAAACAAAAAAAAATCTCAACAAATACTGCACTCTCTGCTTCTGCTTCTCTCTATTTCTCTCAAAATGTCTGAAATGGTTAGTTTTTTACTGTTTTTCAGTGCTTTCTTGGCATTTTGGAAGGTCTCCTGAGGTTATCTTAAAAAAATGCTTCTAAACGCAAACGCTCATAAACGCAAAGCAGCTAAACAGACGCTTTTTAATCTACGTTTTCCAGCTATCAGTTTCCATCGTTCAGAAGTGTCCCGTGTACATGGGGCCTTACTTGTAAATCTATTGTGTAGTTTGAAGTTTGTTATGTTGGACAAAAATATTCTATTTACATAAAATTGACAACTGAAACAGTTGGCCAGAGTGACAGTTTAGAATCAGTAACTTTTTTATTTTTTTCCATAAAAGTTTTATCGAAGAATGTTAGACAGCATAAACAAAACTTTTAATTTCTAAATATTAGACTTGCTATAAACTGAAATTTCTGAATAAAGACAGTTGGTTTTCTACATAAATAATTCTGTTACATTTACTCTCGCAGATCTATAACACCTTGCCCCCAACTAAGGATAAAATGTATGATTTCCCTTCTTCAATGAAGCAAAAGCCTGAAGCAACATATGACACCTTGCCTCCAAGTTCAAACATGTCAAGAACAATGCATGAAAATGAATGGTCATTCACCTTCTGAGACACCTCCAAGGAAATCCAGCTTGTACGATTTTCCTCGTAATCCGCAAACTCAGTCCATATCTGAAGATTACGATTTCCCTCGAGGAGTCCATTTCTCTGGAGAGACAGGAAGTTTTCCTGATGACCAGGAAGGGATCTATGACTTCCCACCGCAGGTTCAGCAAGACTGTAAAGGGATTCAGGATGCAACTGACGGTGTAAATAGACTTTCATTCTCTAGCACTGGAAGCACTAGGAGCAACATGTCTACATCTTCCACAACTTCCAAGGAATCTTCTGTGACATCCTCGCCTTCTCAGGACAAAAAACTCTTGATGGATCCTGACTCTGCTATTGAACTGTTGTTGAAACTTCAACAAATGGTGGAATCTTCTGTCTCTAAACTTTTGACGTTCGTCAACGCTGAATGGCGGTCTTACGTTTCCATGGAAAGGCATATTAATGAAATACATTCTGCTGTAGACAAAGTAAAGCAGTCCCTATTTGAGTTTCTCCAGTTTTCAAAAGGGGCTACAATCAATGCATCTTGTGTGTCAGAGCCTGGGCTTTATAATAAAATGAAAAGAGAGTTACAGAGACTAGAGGACTCTCACCAGATCTTAACACAAACCAGTCAAGAACTCAATCACTGCAACTGGTCGCTCAATGTTCTTTCTTTCAATAAAACTGCCAACAAATGTGACAGCCTTGAAAGGTATATCATGGTTGCTAGGACAATTGTGGACGATGCAAAGCAGCTAACAACAACAATTAGTATTAATACTGTGCATTTATTTAAGCATGCTCCCGCTAATGTGCAAAAAAGAAGACCTTCGGAGGTAATCGGCAGCGTTTCTGAAATGATGTACAGTGACTCAAAACCTCATATTATACAAGATGACAACAAAAAGTCTTTTCCACATTTGGGGAAAGAGCAGAACCCTAATTTCATGAGTCGGGATAGCCCAATGAGAAGCTGGATGGATGACTATGATTATGTCCACCTACAGGTAATATTTTACATTACATCGAGTTTATATAGCGCCAAAGGGTTTGCTCAGCGCTGTACAATAGAGGGGGGGGGGGGGGGCAATACATGAAACAGTACAGCAACTACAAACAGCACACGAGGGGTTAGAGGGCCCTACTCTTTCGAGCTTACAATCTAGGAGGGAGGGGGTAGTGGTACAGGAGGAAGTGGCTGTGGGGGATGGAGTGGTAGGAGGAATGAAGGAGAGCGGCAGTTAGGTGAGGGTGGGGTAGGCTTCCCTGAAGAGGTGGGTTTTCAGGGAGCGCCTGAAGGTGAGGAGGGAAGGTGACAGTCTGATGGATTGGGGTAGTGCGTTCCAGAGGATGGGGGAGGACCTGGAGAAGTCTTGCAGACGTGCGTGGGAGGAGGAGACCAGGGGGCAAGATAGAAGGAGGTCCTGTGAAGAGCAAAGGGTACAGGTAGGGTGATACCTGGGAATCAGGTTGGTGAGGTAGTTAGGGGCAGTGTTGTGAACGGCTTTGTAGGTCAGAGTGAGTAGTTTGAATTTGATGCGTTGGGCGATAGGGAGCCAGTGGAGGGAGAGGCAGAGGGGGGTGGCAGAGGTGGAGCGGTTGGTGAGGTGGAGGAGTCTTGCCGCTGAGTTCAGGATGGTCTGAAGCGGGGAGAGCCTGCACTGGGGTAGGCCGGTGAGGAGGGAGTTGCAGTAGTCCAGGTGTGAGATAATCAGGGAGTGTACGAGTAGTTTAGTAGTGTCTGGGGTAAGGAAGGTGCGTATCTTGGCGATGCATATTTAACTCATTTGCCGTTATTATATCCCATTTTAGTTTCGCTCAGGCATTTTTTGCAGAGTCAGCAAGTCGTTGTAAATTATATCACTGCTAGAAGTATTCACACAACCCATCAATGGGCTATCCTAAGACCGCTTATGTAAAAGCCTTAGAAGAGATACACGGTCACAGCATTTATATTGACTGAAGGAATGCAGAGCGTTCTCTAACACTTGGTGAAAAAAGTTTTCTTGAGGAACTCGTCAGACCACCAGGACACCTGTTGCTCATCAGTGGCGTAAATGGTTTACAGGGTCACTACTGAAGAGAAAAGCCATTAAATTCGTTCTGCTGTAAAAGCACTGTTTGAAATGTAGTCAGTGTTTTTATGAACACTATTCTTCCCTGCTGTTAATAATAGTATGTGCAAGCACAGGACTGTACTTTTTATTTTAAACATATAAAAAACATACAGACAACAGACGCCCACCAGGGTCAAAGCCCAACCAAGTGTACATAAAACGACAACAGTGCAAAACAACCCTAGGGAGAGAAACAAAAATAAGGGAGGGGGGACAGTACTGTACTTTAAGCCCTGGTTCACATATATGCAGCCGCATTTTGCGCAGGTATGAGAGCCCATTCATTTGAATGGACTCCTGTGCCCATTGACACACAGGGAAGAAGTCCCTGCACTTCTTCTGAATACACAGCCTGCACGGGAACCTCGGTTTCTAGTATGTTTCCGGTTTCCAGTGCGGGGGGCGTGCCATTAGAACTAATGGCACCTGCCCGTGGGTCCGCATTCCTCTGTGCGGGTGGTGCGGCTGCACAGATTTTTGTGTGGATCCGCAGCCGCACCACCCGCACAGATGTGAACCTGGCCTTAATGTATAAAGTGCAGGACTCCAAGTGCATTTTTAGCATTACAAATGAGAAACAGCGTTCAGGTAGATCTAGTTAAGGCTGGCCATAGACAGAGCAAATTTAATTCCTGCAACCATCTCCTCCCAACCCTCCATCAACCTTCCCTCATCAACACAGACAGTGTTCACAGGGATATCCCTCCCGTGGAGCCGTTTTACTCTCCCGGCGAGGGAAGCCGACCCCACCAGGAGAACACAGTGATTATTGCTAGCGCCTATAACAGCCGCTAGCAATAATCACATGTAAAATCCAGCAGGCTGGTAGTACCCAAGTTGATCGATCGATCAACTTGGGTATATTCAACCTGCCCATACATGGTTCAAATCTCGGCCAGTTCCTGCTGAACCAGCTGATATTCGAACCATCTATGGCCGGCTTACCTGTGGGCCACTAAGTTATCAACTTGCTGTTGCAGGTCCGTGTTTATAGGTTATGTTGCTTACTGAGAGGCCACAAAATATATAATGTTGGCCATAATGCAAATATTATGTTGCAGATGATCTAACTGTCCTACAACCATTTGTTCACAGCTGACATTACCTAGTAACATCCCATTAGCTTTAAAGAACAGTACTCCTATTTTTCCCACTTAGAGCATCCAAACTGTTCCAACCAATCCTATCTGCTTTGCAGCAGAGGTTATTTGTTGTGATTGTTCCCAAAATAAATGACATTACATTTGTATCCATTAGAATCATTATAATCCATAAAAGGTGTAGTTTCACCTCCAACCAATCCTATCTGCTTTGCGGCAGAGAATATTTGTTGTGATTGTTTTTGAAATCCTTATCCCAAAATAAATTACATTACATTTGTATCAATTAGAATCATTAGATGACCTGTCCAACCACCTCCTGTGTATGGCTGACATAGCAGCAAAGGTTCAGTATGAGTGTGGTCAGACAATATATTTATTACATTATATTCAAAACTATTACACTGCAATGAAGTCAACAGTATCCATACTAAAGATATTTTTTTTTCTGGATTTACAAGCCATCAAAGGTGTAGTTTGAACTCCTGAAGCCATAATATCTGTTAAAGCCGATCAGCAGCTTTTAGGGAAGTTTAAAGTATTGCTAATGGCTTGTTTTTAGTTTTTTTTTTTTTTTTTAAATAAATTGAAATACGTAGCTGTACTTACTGTATGTACCTTCACTATGCAAGGATATTGCACAGAGCGGCCCCTTACCTCCTCTTCTCTGGTCCTCCACTGGCACTGTCTGCTCCTCCCCTCTGGAGTGTGGCCCCATAGCAAGCCGCTTGCTATGGGGGCACATGTGTTGGCTTACTCCCGAGTCAGGCTGTGTGCGTCCATAGACACACACAGTGCGGCTTGGCCATGCCACCCCCCCCCCCACCTTCCTTACTGGATTTGATTGATAGCACTCCCATTGCTAACAATCTGTTTTATGAAAGCAGGAGAGAGACCAGCACTGCTGCAGACAGGCACAGTTCTGGATCAATGTAGGGCTCAGGTAAGTATTTGGGGGGCAGATAGTTGAGGCTTTTTTACCGTAATGCATTAAGGTAAAAAAAGTTTTGACTTTAGAACCACTTTAAATTGGTTAAAATAAACTATTACTTTCACTTCTAAATGTGCCCGCTGTGTGCACTGTGTGAACCCTATGTGTCCTCAGCTACATACAGTATACAGCACTGTGTTGCGGCAGAGGGAAAAGAACTTCATGTCCTGCTGCCAGAATAAAATCGAATTGGGACGAACGCTTCTCAGCAATTCACATTCTGTGAATACATGGCAGAGTCAGAGATCCTGATGCTATCCCACCCTCCTCTCTGCCTCATCCAATCAGAGGAAGCTTTGTATTCATTTACAGAATACAAAGCTCCCTGTGAATAGCTGACCTTCAATCTGCCACGATTTTCCTCCCGGGAGTAGGTGGGACGTTCCCATCCCATTTCTGGAACACAGTGCTGTTTAGTGTATAAATCTGAGGCTACATACATACAGCGCACACTGTGGGCACGTCTAGTAGTGAAGAAAATAGTTCATTTAGACCAGCTTGGTCCAAATAAATGATGTAAACTTCACTAAAAGCTGAAGACCAGTTTTATACACGTCACTTTTTATGCGCTTGCTTATTGTGTTGCCAAAATCTTGTTTTTTCGTGATATTATTTCTGTTTCAGGAATGCTAAAAATAGAGTTATATTTGCATGACACTTCAGACTTCTCGTATGCATGTATTTGTACAGGATTTGTACAAATACACTGGCAGCCCTCCAGCTGTTGCAAAACTACAAGACCCATCATGCCTCTGCCTTTGGGAGTCATGCTTGTAACTGTCAATCATGCAATGCCTCATGGGACTTGTAGTTTGGCAACAGCTGGAGGGCCGCCAGTTTGACACCTGTGTGTTAATGGAACAGGGGTCAGTTGGTTGCCTCTGAGATTTTGCCACCCTATTCTTTAGCCTTTCAATAAATCGAGGCCTTGGAATCATCAGACTACAGGCAAGTACAACAGCAGCAACAGAGTCCTAAATCCTATTTGTAGTGGAAGGCTCTTCCCGGCGGGGGGCAGGGGTGTTGTTGGTCAATATCAGCAATGTCAGGCTCACTCTGCGGGAGGGGGAAGGGAGGTGGAGTTGGTCGGTGTCCGTGGGGGGCAATTTTTTTGATGCCTAGGGCAGCACAAAACCTAAATACACCACTGTGTGTATGTATGAATATGAGTTAGGGACTTTAGATTGTACGCTCCTCAGGGGCGGGACTGATGTGAATGTACAATATATATGTAAAGCGCTGCGTAAACTGACGGCGTTATATAAGTACCTGAAATAAATAAATATTTGTGGCCTTATTATTATACAGGATTTATATAGCGCCAACAGTTTGCGCAGTGCTTTACAGTATAAAGGAAGACAATACAGCAACAATACAAATTCAAAGCAAGAGGATTAGTAGGGCCTGATCCTGGGATCTTATAATCTAATAGTTAAATAGCAAAGCCAGCAGGATACTCCAGCTACTGATTGGTGGGTTTCTTCAGTGATCTGGGAGTGCGTGGATCAGAGTGAAATGCATTGTCTTACTATCTGCTAATATACATTGTTCAAAGTACTCACGGACAAACTGGATTAAAGTATAACTGCGGCTTCCCATTAAGAAGAAATATGTGCTTAATTATAAGTACATTTGCACTTACAGTTTTCTCTTAGTGTCCCTGCAAAGTCCTACCAATACCTAAGGATCCTGCCAGTGATCCTCTCTCTCCTCTCCTTTAGGTGCACCCTGAAAACCTACCTCTTCAGGGAAGCCTACCCCACCCCCTGCTAACTTGCGACCTCCTCCACTCTTCCTACCACTCCATCCCCCACAGCTATCTCCTCCTGTGCCACCATCCCCCCCTCCTAGATTGTAAGCTCCAAGGAGCAGGGCCCTCAATCCCCTCATGTTTTGCATTGTATTGGTATTGTTCTGTCACATGTTCTGTCCCCCTTTGTAATGTACAGCGCTGAGCGAACTATTGGCGCTTTATAAATACTGTATAATAATATAATAATAATAATGCAGCTTCCAGTGATGATGTGGCAACGATGCTGCACTGCTTCTGAATTCAGAGCAGAGTTGTCACTTTCAGGTTGTGCCTGCTTGCACTGCCGTGTGATGAAATAATGTTGTAAGGGACATGACCATCGTCATTACCCAAGATACTGCTTAGGGCTCATGTACACGGTACATTTTGAAAACACTTCTGAACGATAGAAACTGACTGCTGGAAAACGTAGGTTAAAAAAACGTCTGTTTAGCCGTGTTTGCATACCGTGTTTTATGCGCGTTTATGTTTAGAAGCGTTTTTTAAAGATAACATCAGGAGACCTTCCAGAATGCACTGAAAAACAGTACAAAATTAACTATTTCAGACATTTTGAGAGAAATAGAGAGCAGAAGCAGAGAGAGCAGTATGTGTTGAGATGACCTGTCTTTTCTGGTTGTATTCACTATGGATCCCATCATGAGCATAATGCAGCACGTTCTACTATTGTTTCCTTCACGCAAAACCTGGAACTGACTGCACAGGTGTACCGGGGTCCATTGGAATACATGGAAAACACTTTGCATACATTTGTGATGATGAAAAAAAAAAGGCTCTGGACAGCATCTGGACATGGAACAGTTAAAAAACGCTTCTAAACGCAAACCCTTATAAACACGGTTAGCCGTATTTACAAGCGTTTTGGTGTTTGAAACACTGATAAAATCTGCTCCTGAATGCAAGTTTTGCGCATTCAAAAAAAACGACTGTAAACGACTATGTGTACACGACACATAGGAAAACATTAGGGAGAGTTCAGGGGCTGCTGAAAAAAATGCTCAAACAGCTCCTGAACGTCAGTTTATCAGCTGCAGTGTACATGAGCCCTTATTCACAGTCTGTAGCTTGTCAATCAGCACCTGACCACATTCAGTCTGGCCCACTGCTTTCTAGATTGACCGCTCTGATTCTGTTGCTGAAACCCTCCCAATGTGAGCTGCAACGTCTGGGCGGGGGGGAGCGTGTGAGACATAATGGAGGAGGATTTGGCTCAGTCAAGAACTGTAAAGGAAAGTTTTTGTTTAATGTATGGGGCTTGTGCATCACATAGTAACTGGATTTGATACTGGTTTACAATGTCATACAGGAGCCTTAGTTGTACTTTCGATATCGCCTTCAGCTCATTTTACATCATGACTTTTTTTGGCAGATTGTATATATAGAAATGACCTCACTGTGATTTATGTTATGATCTGCTGTTTCCACTACATAATCACTAAAATGTTTTAAACGGACGTGCTTTATGTTTCAGGGAAAGAAGAATTTGAACGTCACCAGAGAGAGCTTTTAGAAAAGGAAAATATTATCAAGCACGGAAAACCACAACTGGAACAACATCAGGTACGCAGTTTCCCCTTTCTTTTCATTGACCGTTATTTTTAGAGATGACAGAGGAGATCATGTTTTTCATTATCTGTGTTGCAGCTGAGTCAGTTCCAGCAGCTGGAGCAAGAGATTACCACACCGATGGAAAATGATATCTCAAAGTGGAAGTCACCTCAAAGTGCCCCGGCTGGAAACAGTACCCTGACTCCTCAAGATAAGCAGCTGCTGTCCTTCTACTCTGACCAATGTGAGAGACTCTTCATCTCCCTCCTCAACTCCATCGACGCCTTCTTCAACTGCATGAGCACGTCACAGCCCCCCAGGATTTTTGTTGCTCACAGCAAGTTTGTCATCCTGAGCGCCCACAAACTGGTATTTATTGGCGACACTCTGTCAAGACAAGTATCCACAAAGGAAATCTGCAACAGACTGATGAATTCAAGCAACCAGTTGTGTGAACTGCTTAAAAGTATTGTGATGGCCACAAAGATGGCCGCTTTGAACTATCCAAGTTCTGCTTCATTGCAGGAAATGGTGGACCGCGTGACAGAACTTTCCAACCAGGCGCAGCTTTTTAAACTTTCTTTAGCTCAGATGGCATCCTTATGAGATTCTCTGTATCAATTATAGCTGTATATATTTATATTGTCTATGACTAGAGATTCAGAGTTTTTTTTCTTGTAAATATTAACATTATATTTTTGTAGATTTTTGTATTGTGTAAAAACAGAACAAATGTGGCATTCTGGCTTGGCCATAACATTAGAACAAATATAATGCTCTTTAATGTACAATGAAATATTACATGCTGATGTTCCCCCCACATAAGCACCTTACGCGATGTAAAAAAGACATTGAAAAAAAAACGTTACATCCCTATACTTCTGTGAATGTACGGAAATAGCAAATTACTTTACAAAGCACCAACACCATTTGACCATCTAGATCGGGGTCTCCAAGCTTTCTAAACAATGGGCCAGTTCACTGATCTTTGAACTTTAGGGGGGCCAGACTGTGGCCAATGTAGTAAAAAATGCCCCAGTGTCGGTGGGAGTAAGCAATGCCCCATCATTGGTTTCAGTGGGAGTAATAGTGCCCCATTGTTGGTATCAGTGGAAGGAATAGTGCTCTATTGTTGGTATCAGTGGGAATAATAGTGCCCCATTGTTGATATCAGTGAGAGGAATATCACCCCATCATTGGTGTCAGTGGAAGGAATAGTGCTCTATTCGGGGTATCAGTGGAAGGAATAGTGCTCTATTGGTGATATCAGTGGAAGGAATAGTGCTCTATTGGTGGTATCAGTGGAAGGAATAGTGCTCTATTGGTGGTATCAGTGGAAGGAATAGTGCTCTATTGGTGGTATCAGTGGAAGGAATAGTGCTCTATTGGTGGTATCAGTGGAAGGAATAGTGCTCTATTGGTGGTATCAGTGGAAGGAATAGTGCTCTATTGGTGGTATCAGTGGAAGGAATAGTGCTCTATTGGTGGTATCAGTGGAAGGAATAGTGCTCTATTGGTGGTATCAGTGGAAGAAATAGCGCTCTATATGTTGGTATCAGTGGGAATAATAGTGCCCCATTGTTGATATCATTGATAGGAATATCACCCCATCATTGGTATCAATGGAAGGAATAGTGCTCTATTGGTGGTATCAGTGGAAGAAATAGTGCTCTATTGGTAGTATCAGTGGAAGGAATAGTGCTCTATTGGTGGTATCAGTGGAAGGAATAGTGCTCTATTGGTGGTATCAGTGGAAGGAATACTGCTCTATTGGTGGTATCAGTGGAAGGAACACTGCTCTATTGGTGGTATCAGTGGAAGGAATACTGCTCTATTGGTGGTATCAGTGGAATGAATACTGCTCTATTGGTGGTATCAGTGGAAGGAATACTGCTCTATTGGTGGTATCAGTGGAAGGAATACTGCTCTATTGGTGGTATCAGTGGAAGGAATACTGCTCTATTGGTGGTATCAGTGGAATGAATACTGCTCTATTGGTGGTATCAGTGGAAGAAATAGCGCTCTATTGTTGGTATCAGTGGGAATAATAGTGCCCCATTGTTGATATCATTGATAGGAATATCACCCCATCGTTGGTGTCAGTGGTAGGAATGGTGCAAAGGACCACATCAGGCCCCAAGGTCACAGTTTGGAAACCACTGATCTAGATGTTAGCTGACTATCTATATGTTAGTTGACCATTGCAGGAAACAATACTGACTTTCCTATAGTTGCTATTTTTCCTGTTCTATGAATAATTTCACAAAATCCATTTTCCCAGTTAAGCCAATAGTTTTGTCCAGGTGGCCTTTTTTGCTGAAATAATATGATGTAAATAAGGTAGTATACAGTATCTTTTAGGAAAGATGTCACCTCTTATCAAGGTAAAAGGGAAGAAAGATGAATTCTAACTGGCCAGTATTGGTTACTGAACTGTCCACATTGCTATCAACTTTATTAAAGTCCGACTTTTCTCAAACTTTTTTCAAGTTTTGTAGCATATGTGGAAGGAGTAAAACTGAAAATTCTTTAAGGGTTTTTATGCCTTTGGAGTCCCAGTTGGGCAGATTTCTTCTCACTTCTTGTCACCCTGCTATCAGGACAGGAAGTCAAATGAAATCTCACCAACAGAGACAAACCGCATTGAAAACACTTTTCAGTAGAGTGGAGAAGGTTTAGAACTTGTGTCAGGTTCTTATTCTGGTCAGTGTCCTCATTTAAGAGATTGATGCTGACTTCCTAGCCTAGTGACACCATGCCAAGACAGTACATGTAGATCTCACCAGCACACCATTAAAAATTAGCATCAACAATGCGTTCATCACCATAGAGAAAGTGGTGTTTCTGTGCAACTAAGGACCCCTTCCTCGGCTATACAATGCCTCTGGTCACTGTCTGTCTGGGGAAGGTGGTCCTCATTGGCCCCAAAACATTGTTTTCTCTATGATGGTGAAGAAATGTCTTGACTATCTATATGTTAGTTGACCATTGCAGGAAGCCATTCTGACTTTCCTATAGTTGCTATTTTTCTGTTCTATGAATAAATTCACAAGATCCATTTTCTCAGTTAAGCCAATAGTTTTGTCCATATTTATATTTAATGGTGTGCCGATGAGATCTTTTTATTTGAACTCATTTTTGGGACATCGCGATCTGTCTGCAAAACCCGTGATATCTTGGATCTATGGCTGTAAGGACAGCCTTGGAATTCATAAACCTACAAAATCTTCTTGACACAGACATCAATAAAAACGTGACAAAGGTTTAAACCCTTCCCCACTCTATGCAAAACAAAACAAAAATCTATATAGGCTGGGTTTACCTTTAAAGGTCACAATACCTGACTACTTTTGAAAGTGAAGACAGTGTCATAACTTATATTAATGTTTATTGGATCACTTTTGTACCACAGTTATGTCTGTGAGGTAAATATTTAAACATTTTTATGTAAAAAATAAAATGCAAAACTCCATTTTGCCGAATGAAAATCACAGTTTACTGGTGGTATTACTTTCCTATTAGGCCTCAGGCATACTGGGCATTTAGCCCTGGAGCAGGCAAAAGGTGCACCATCCAGTCCCACTGCCCGCAAGCTGAAAAATTCTGAGAGGCTGAAAGCTGCTATGACTGGACGGTGCACCAAGTGCTACTAACATTTAGGGCAGTATGTTCCCAGGGTTGCTTGGAACGCAAGCAACCTTCGTTCTGGATGTGACTAGGATAGGTCCGATACACCTGTTGCCTCTGCCTACTGTAAAACTGCCCTCCATTTCCACCCCCTATTTCCTTAAAGACACCAGCACCCAAAATGGAGTAAATGGACGAATCGGCCTTTTAGTAACCAAAACCATAAATAACAAGAAAAAAAAAACATCCACAGTTATAAACAATCCAGCTCCAAGAACAGTTGCAGCTCCTTGACGACACCTCCTCACACCATTTTGAGTCCGTGGTACCATTAAGCTAGGGTCTATCCCCGGCCGCCACACACCGCCTCGGGGACTATACTAACTCACCACAGACCCCTACCAATCTTCCCTGGTCTGTCTAAGCTGAATCAGACCAACCTGAGATGGATCCCACCGTTTTTATTTTATTTTTTTATTTCAGGTACTTATATAGCGCTGTCAATTTACGCAGCTCTTTTACATAAAAATAAAACAAAATGAATGAGCGCGACTTAATAAGTAAGGAAAAAACTTAATAAAAAGCTGCCAGCATAAAAGGTATACCTCAGCACCTCAGTAACAAAATTCAAAATATTAAGTATGCAGCGCTAAATAATAATATAGGGGACAAGAATAAATATAAACAGATATTCATCAAATGTGAATCAGTCCCAAAAAGTAATGAAATAGTCCTCCACTCCCTGGTCTGGTGAGACCGTATGCCTTTAGCAATGAATACTCCACCAGGTAATAGTACAGTAATGTGCTTACCAGAAGTACATACAAACTGCGTGTTGTATGTAAATAATCTGTGAAGGCATCAGGGTCTGGTCACTGGTATGATGTCATCAGGTACAGTGGTGGCCCCTCAAGAACGATGTCGGTCCTGCTTATGGTCCTCATCAGACTCACCAGAGGGTCCAACGCCGTCACAGCTCCAGAGGTAACTCCACCTTAAAGGGGCTCGTATAATAACGAGCCAGGAAGGCAAAATGGTGCAATAGTGTAATATTGTCTTTATTAATAGAATCCAAATAGGTACAAGAAAGGCACTCACATTAAATATCATGGCTTCAAATCTGTTCCATAGGTGTATGGTCACAAAAGCGTCACAATGAGGAATTCCCCTGACATGTTTTGTGGAGACAGCACGTTCTCAAAGGTCTTTTACATATAGTACGTTCACATCAGTCCCTAACCCTCAAGGGGCGTACAATCTAAGGTCCCTAACTCACATTCATATACAAGGGCCAATTTAGACAGGATCCAATTAACCTACCAGCATGTCTTTGGAGTGTGGGAGGAAACCAGAGTACCCACGCAGGCACAGGGAGAACATGCAAACTCCAGGCAGGAGGTGCCGTGGCTGGGATTCGAACCAACGACCCTAGTACTGCCAGGCGGAAGTGCTAACCATTTAGCCACTGTGCTGCCCATTTTACCAATCTACCAAGTTTTAGACCCCAACCGCACCCCACCTCCTCCAATTTATGCAAACCCAATTACTAGGGTGAGAGAGAGAGAGACGTTCCACTGACTATTTCCAGCTTGCAAGTGACGCCGTTCACTCCACCCCACCAACTACTCTCTCTTCAGCTCCTTCCATCACTCCATCCACTCCTTCAATCCAGTAAGTGTGCTCAAATTTTCATATATAAACAGCTACATTAACCCTATCCTGCCAGGTTTTCTTCCACCCTGTCATGTATGCCCTGTGCTTATTTTCTTCTTTCAAATCTCCAGACATGTCTTTCTTGACCGGGCACATACTGCCCTAAACATTTTATAGCATTTGAAAAGCATATGTAAGCTCACTTCTTAAAAATGACTGGTGCCCCTTTAAGGCCACAATCTGGCCACACATACCATTCATCATGGTGCGCTGTGCATGCCACTTTATTGCTGACTTGATTTTATTTATGTATGTGTGTAGGTGGT